TGAGGGCTTTATCAACATCAGCCCCTCGGTGGCCGGGCATCTCGAGACTTTTCATAGGGCAGCTGGTGTTAGCGGATAGGAGACATGAGTTCACTCACCGGCCAAGGCAGATTTTGCAACACCTCGCCGCACATATTTGCGACAGCCGCAGTGGCATGTCTTACCATGACCGATTGTCGCTTCGAAGACATTGCAACAGATTCAAGATTTGCCAGGCCTCCTTTGACCATACCTGCAAGATATGGGACCTGAGACGTCCTCTGAAAGCACAGATGCCCTTGAAGACCCTCCTGACTGGCGGCCGGGACCACAGACGTAACTCAGAAGGCTCACATGGCAGCGGACCGGGGGGCTGGCGCTGCAGGTCAAAACGTAATGGGCACCTTCTCGCCAGATGACAGGTCGGCTGAACCCTAACCCGTTAAACCCTAAACCCGATTGTCGTTCTTTGATTGCATTTTCCTCCGGCTGCCAGATTGTTCCTCTGCAGCGGAGTGGACACGCGGATTTGGCAGTACGAGGCTCTTAGCCCATCACCGTCCCCCGGAGCACGGCAAATTGCGGTCACTAGAGCTTTGAGAAGGTGGGAACCTGGACGCAGACGGCTCCTGTTGAGCTACGAAGCCCCCTGCACAAAGAGCGCGCATGCCTTGGTTTTCTTTGAAACGATTGCTACACTATTATTATTATTACTATTATTATTATTATTATTATTACTATAATTATAAGTGTTTTTGTTATTATTATTATTGTTATTATTATTATTATATATTATTGCTGCCTTTGGTGCCTGAGGCTATCGACGCGTCGCTTACCTGGCAAACAGCAAGTACTTTGTCACGGGATCGACAGAGGCCGCAACAGAACTCGACGGTCTCACGCCATATTAATATGGGAGTTTGCGAAAACCAGGGACCCCAAAACATAGTCCCATAAGAAGTCGGACTCCCTTATAGTAGGGACCCCAATAAGGTACCCCTCAATGTCGGAAACGCCCTAAACCCGAAACCCGAAACCCTGAACCCTGAACCCTAAACCCTAAACCCTAAACCCTAAACCCTAAACCCATATTTTGTGCAGGAGTCGCACATCCACCTTCTCTCTGCGCATGGCAAGAAGATTGGCTGCGTGGACATGCGAGGCATGCTCCAGGCCGGTTTAGGGTTTAGGGTTTAGGGTTTAGGGTTTAGGGTGAAGTACTGAATATGATGGCTCACTTGGGATGTTCCCCCTTATGCTAACAGTCCGTAATAGGGGGGATACTAGAATCCCTATGAGGGCCTGTTAGTACAAGGGGGAGCATCCCAGTTGCTTACCATGGTCGGCTCAGAGGTCTATCTACAGAGCAACCCTGAAGTACACCACAGTACACCCGCTGATTCAGGAAAGTCTTCTTCCAGGGGAACGTAAAGCTGATCCTTAAGGACCCAATTGAACCTTAAAAGGGTTTATGGTTCATCTTACCTGCATAGAGGTTAGAGTAGTATAGGGTATATGGCCCCAATGTTACCCAAGGAATCCATGCTCCCGTGCAGGTGCGGGCCTCTCCTTTGCGCAGCTACGCAGAGCCGATTCGTGGGACGGTGGCGCGCCGAAGTTTGTGGGCCTGAGTCTACTTGCTATTCAATCATGAGTCTCCGTTTAACGCAATGATAGCTATGCATGAACCTCCAAGTAATGCAGTTGGAGCGATGATGGTGTCCGGCGGTTCCGCCCTGCTGACGTCTGATTCAGGAAACTCTTCAGGGTCTGGGCGTGTGGCCTTGCAATGCAGTCAGCCAGGTTATATAAATCAGGCTTCTTATGAACAAGCCGATCTTGTGCCATAGCGCATCGTCATACATTGAGCTTACATTTGCAGTGCATTGAGCACGTCGTGCGCACGCTCGTGCATGCGCGCAGGGCGGGAATTGCGCAATTGATGGTCTCTGGCATGTTATCTCTCGCTGGGGTGTCGTGCTCGCTCGAAGTCTCTGCGCCTTGCACCTATGCCCTGTACACGCTCGCTGCGCTTCTTTGCTCGGACCCTGCTTAAATGAGCATGGCACGAAGAATGGTCATCACTTGGTGCTTGCAGCCGTTCGTTCGGCTCATCGGCACCATGCGATAGGTCGTATGAACAGCAGAGGACACTCCAGCGGTACTGAAAGCCTATGCCGGCATCATTGTTTTCTCTTTCAACTTCTCATCTCGTTTTCCAGAACCTATCAGTATGTGGGGGTGTCCTTGTGGGCATACAGAAATTTAGCAGAAACCCTTGTCCATGCAATGTGGCGTAGGGTATATGTATATGTACATGTAGTGTAAAGAACTAAATATAGACACAATTTAGCAACTAGTCAATGAAAGATGGCCATCCGTACGTTGTAGTGACAGGAGGACTTCAACACTCCCCAATCCGTCCCGTGAAGTCGGGCGGAGATTCCCAAATTCCTAGCCAGAGTCTTGCCTGACGGTTTGTCGGTCATATGGGGGATGACGGAAAATGGGGGACCCCCAATATAGATCTCGATCCCCTTATACTAAGGACCCCAAGAAGGCACCCCCCCGTAATATCCCCTAAACCCTAAACCCTAAACCCCAAATCCCAATTCCCTAAACCCTAAACCCCCAACTGAAGTACCCCTAATTTCGGAAGCCTCCATGTTACCCTTTCGAAGGTGTGTCTGGAGGACGCCGACCCTCAAAGCGGGTCATCCTGGCTGACCTTTGTTTGAACCCAGGGTTTAGGGTTTAGGGTTAGGGTTGAGGGTTTAGGGTTAGGGTTTAGGGTTTAGGGTTTAGGGTTTAGGGTTTAGGGTTTAGGGTTTAGGGTTTAGGGTTTAGGGTTTAGGGTTTCAGGTTTAGAGTTCAAGGGTTTAGGGTTTAGGGTTTAGGGGGTTGCAGTGCTACGGTTCGTTAGGGTCCTGGGTGAGGGAAGGGGACCATTCAGCCTGTCCATGATCGTGACGAATTGCCAGTTGCTTCATCCGTCGTGTCAAGGTGTCGACGTGATATCATGGGATATCACATGCGTGTGTCCCTTGCTGACGGGGCGGAATGCCGTAAACGATCAGCCTCAAGCGTACTAATGACAGGTCCAGCCGCCATGGCCATGAATACGTCCAGTCGATACGAAGTCACCCAGTCGGAGACTCAGAAGGACTGCAACTATTGGGCCCTATAGTCTCAAAGGAAAGAAACTTCGGGAGCACGCGGACTCAGGTCATTGCAAATCGTATCGGAGTGGTGGTGGCGCAGGCACTTGCCCACAAAAGCCTTGGCTTGAGCAGCTTTAGCAGTGTGCTGCGGGCTTTTGCGCAGACTTGGCAGTATGATGTGTTCTGCAGGCTACTACATCTCAGGTTGTTCTGCTGGACCTGGAGGGCCGGGAGGTTGAAGCATAAGGTTAGATATGGTGACTTCTCTAAATCATGGTCCCTTTAGATAAAGGGCGGCCCCCCTCTCATGTAGGGTACCAAAAAGGGACCATGTAGAGAACTGACCATATGTTAGTTCGTTTCACAGGCGTAGATGGCTGACGTAACACACGTCAAGTTTGTACAGGCCCTGCTCGGAGAGTTTTGGCAACTCTCGGTTTGCAGGTTGCGTGTGGCATAAGCCAACCAACGAGGGTTTGCGATACTTAAGGGGCCCCCAAACAGTGTAGGATCCCCTTAAAAGAAACCCTAAACCCTAAACCCTAAACCCTAAACCTAAACAAGGACCCCCTAATAAGGTACCCCTTAAGATCGTCCACGTCGCCGAGGGGCGCCAGTTCTTGGGAAGTTTTTGGTGGCACAGGGCTGGCCTTACACAGTCGGAGCAAGGAGTTTGAAGCCGAGCGTGCAGGCTCCTGCTGTGCACAACTGCACGCGAGAGACTCACCGCGCCTCGGCCAAAGAGACACCAGACGAAAGCGGCTTAGGGCTTTTAGGAGTTAGGAGTTTAGGGCTTAGGGTTTTTGGAGGGAGGGGAGGGGAGAGTTCTGACATCAAGGGGTCGGGCAAGCCATTGAACATTCGTGGCGCTCAAAGGCACCCGATGGTGCTCTCTTGGCCGAGCGTGTTTTCAAAATTCGCACAGGCTTCCCCAAGGAAGCGCTTGCCAGTGCCAATTTTCAAGCTCCGGGCTATCATGTGGATAGCCCGGGCATGAGCCGCCCAAGCTGCACAAGGCTGTATCGATGCGGCTCACTTAGTATGAAAGCTTAGTGCTGTGAGTGCAGCCAGTGTCCATCCAGGTGCTGTGTTTCCCTGTCTGCCTGGGCCTAGGAAAGAAAGCCCCAAACCCTAAGCCCTAAACCAGATTTTAGAAAGAGTCCTAAACCCCTCAAAGCCATGTCAGGCTGTCAGACTCTTAGGTGGATGCCGGCTTCGCCTGAAGATGGTGCATGCAGTTAAAGCTGTTAAGTTTGCCAACTGGTGCACTTGTAGGTCACGTAGGGTCACATGCCAGCAATTCTTTTTGTGAAAGAGTTTCAAAGGGTTGCTGTGGTTTTGCTGCTTTTTGTTATGCGCCAGGGCATTGAATTCAGACTGCGGAGGCTTATTGTGAACGCGACGGCACCGCACGGCAGAAATGAATGCAGCCCAGCCCGTTCACTGCGATCTCACGGCAGACTGAACGAAGGTAACGAAGGGGGGACACATGGGACCCTAAACATAAAACCCTAAACCCTAAACCCTAAACCCTAAACCCTAAACCCTAAACCCTAAACCCTAAACCCTAAACCGCAAAATTCGATATGACCAAGCTCTTACAGCCGACCTTGTTCGGATCAGGATGCCGTTAGCCCACGGTTAGCTCTGCGGCCATATTTCCCAAAGGGTCCATGTACCTATATGGTATATACTTGGGCCTTAAAGGAGTTCCCATATAGTAGCTTTAGGGCCCAATTCGTGCTTAGAGCACTCGCATCTGGCATCCACGTAGCAAGTCAGGTCGTGTGTACTTGGGTGGCCTGCGCGGCCCCCGCAAGCGCAGACACGTCGCATGTAGCTGAATGACCACCGCACCTCATGAAGGCCGCCACTCCAGGCAAGGGCAGATTGGAGTTTCCTGCCAATGTCCTGGTTGTCTTGCCTTTGCAAACTGGGCAGATCCTTCAAAGTTGACATCGTGCATCCCCTGAAGCAAAGCTCAGCCTGAGTCGGGCAAGAGAGCAGTTGAAGAACCAATTTCGGCTTCGCCTCGTTGTCTAAGCCAGTTTAAGCCCTCTGTTTTTCGCAAAAAACGCAGCAGAACAAATGTCTCCATCCTTTGCCTCGCAGGGACGCCATCGAGTGCCTTGCCTCAGTCGCGTTTGCGTGCTCCGGGCTGGTCTGGCAGCAGGCGAGCAAATCAGCTCCAAACCAAGCCCGAGATCCTAAATGAACCGTAAACCCCTGAAAAATAATAACCCTACAGTCAAAAGGCCTTGTATGTCAAGGGTGGTGTCCTTCCAGGCTGTTCTCCACAACCATCTCAAGTCCACTCTTCGTCTAAACCTGAAACCGATCACCTGGAATTTATACATGGAACACGCTAAAGCCTATGCATGACTAAACCCTAAACCCTAAACCTGTCTTTCATATATATATATATATATACATATATATATATATATATGCCTTAATGGGGGCCATGTATACCTTAATGGGGGCCGTGGCCATTGGCAAAAAAAGCCGTGGCCATTGGCAAAAAAGCCGTGGCCAGTGGCAAAAAAAAGCCCAAACTTGCCAATGGCCACGGGAAAGTTGCCAATGCCCACGGCGTTTTTGGCAATGGCCACGGTCCCATGAAGCTTGGTGGTCAAAATTGTTTTTTTCCTTCCAAATCGCACCAAATCTGCCCCCAACATGTGGCCATTGGCAAAAAGCCGTGGCCATTGGTGGCAACTTTGCCAATGGCTGCGTCCTTTTTGCCATAGCCAGAGCTTTCTTTGCAATGGCCGCGCTTTCTGTTGGCATGTTGTCCGAGTGGCCGATCGGCCAAAAAGCCGTGGCCATTGGCAAGAAGCAAAAAACTCGTGGCTGGCCATTGCCCAAAAGCAAGTTTGCCAATGGCTAAAGCTGTTTTGCCAATGGCCGCGGGTTTTTTGCCGACCCTCCTCACCCCCCTTACCCCCTTACCCCTCCCCCCCCCGCAGCCCTCCCTTACCCCACCCCCCTTAACCCACCTGGCCTACCTACCCCTCAACCACACCAAAGCGCCTCCACACCCCTATTCTGGGCTCGAAACCCCGGTGTGCGCAAATGAGGGCTTCGACACCCCACCCACCCTCTCATTCTTGACACCCAGACCCCTATTCTGGGCTTGAAAATCTAAATCTGGGGCAGGTGCAAAGAATCCCATAACATTAAGAACATCTTACCCCAAAGAGTTTTACCTACCCAATTCGGAAACGTTTTCCACTGAACCTTCTGGGGCCCACCCCCGACGAACAATGGGGTCGGATTGACCGAAAAGTCACCGACACTGGTCCAGATTGACCGAAAAGTCACCAACACTGAGGGCTTCGACACCCCCCCCCCTTTATTCTTCCTGCACGCCGGGAACCTTTAGAAAGTTCGGAATCAGCACCCCATCACGGACCAACAAAAATCCAGAAAAAGTAAGCTCTCAGCGCAGCGAGCACGAAAAACCAGGAAGTAAGCAATCAGCGCCCCATCAAGCAAAAACTCCAGAAAGTAAGCAATCAGCACCCCATCAAGCACCCGTCAAAACGTGGTTCGAGGGTGGGGTGGGGAAACAAAATACATGAGGGTGCATCCGGACCAATGTCTAGTTGGACGGTGGGTTGGAGTAGCGAAAAGAGGCAAGCACTCGCATTGCAGTCCGAAGCACACTTTGTGGGAGGATGCCACCCGCCACTTTGGCCTATTCGTGCTCGAAAACAAGCAACATGAGGTTAACAAAATTAGGTTATTTTTTTGGCTGTTCGTGCCCTGTACGAGGGTGGGGTGCGGGCAAACAAGCAACATGACGTTAACAAAATTAGGTGTGTCTTTTTGGCTGTTCGTGCCCGAAAGCCAAAAAAGCATGAGGTTGTGCGAGAATGCCTCCCGCCACTAGGGTTTATAAGGTTTAGGGTTTAGGGATTAGGGTAACATGAGGGCCCCCTTTTGTGTTTTGATGTGGTTGCTTTGGAATTGGTGCCCCGGTGACCACGCCTCCCGCCAGCCGATTGTGGTTCGAGGGTGGGATGGACCGCTCCATGAGGTTGGGGGACAGGGCTTGCTGATGAAAAATATGAACTGTGTATTTGTTATTGGGACTCTCTGGGTAAGCCCTAAGCCCTAAACCCCTAAACCCCTAAACCCTAAGCCCTAAGCCCTAAACCCTAAACCCCAAACCCTAAACCCTAAACCCTTAACCCTAAACCCTAAACCCTAAACCTTCCGGGTGATATGTAGGTGGCCAGCGGGACCCGGCGGAGCTCCTGCGTCCCAGGCTTGCCAGGGGGGAGAAAGAGACCCTACTTCGATAGAAGCAGGTTTAGGGTTTAGGGTTTAGGGTTTCGGGTTTAGGGTTTAGGGTTTCGGGTTTAGGGTTTAGGGTTTGGGGACTCTGGGGACCCCCCCAAAAAAATGGCAGGATCCTCTCATGATAAAGGCCCCCAATCAATAACTGAGGCGCGGTTTCTGCGGTTGAGGGCTGACGGTTGAGAGGTTTGGGGGTTAAGGGCTTAGGGTTGAGGGCAGATGTCCTTGAATTGATGGGACCATTGGGAGAAAGGAGTCCTCAAAAGGGGAGTCCTTAGAAAACAAGGGGGACTACCACATACGTCAGATAAGGGTCTGAGGTCGTAAAGGGGGCGGTAACTCCAAACTACCAACATCCGCCTCTCATTTTCGGAAACCCACGTCTTATCTTGCTGGCTTCAATGAGATTTCCAGGTGAGAAGCGACAGGCCGCAGAGCCCAACGAAAGGTGCACGGCGAAGCAATCATGCAGCAAGGGGTGTGCTGAGGGTTCAGGGTTCAGGTTTCAGGGTTCAGGGTTTAGGGTTTAGAGTTTAGGGTGTAGGGTTCAGGGTTCGGGTGCTTGTATTCAAGTCTACTCCCGGGCGATTCCCGAGGTCGATAAGCATCTCCGGATCACTGGTTAAGTTGAGGCTTGTGCTGCAAGGTGTCTCGCCATGCGCGCAAAGTGTCCCAGTTTCAAAGCAACACAATGTGCACACCCTTACACCCTTCATGGTACTTAGTCACCCAATTATAAACCGACTTATAACCCTATTGGGGTGCTCAAGGAGGCTTATAAGAGGGTCTAAGTACCCTAAACCTCCAAATAGCCGAGCCCGATGGAAGGTTCTGCCGTGAGCTTTTCAGCGCAGCGGCGGCAGTCAGCTCCGGCCCGATGTGCAGAAATCGTCTTCACGTCCATGCAACACAGGGGTTTAGGGTTTAGGGTTTAGGGTTTAGTATTTAGGGTTTAGGGTTGAGGGTTGAGGGTTGCGGGGTCGGAAGAATTGCTAATCGTGTCCCCCCTCATGGTCCCTAGAGAATTATACTGTAGTAGTGTCTCAAAACCTTGTTGGGGCTCGGTCATGGCCGTTGGCCCCAGCTGACTGCAGCACAGGCCCCCGACGTGAGGCTGGCGCCTCAAGAGCAACGTGCTGAACGTTTTGGCTGTCCGGGGCGGGAGGGGGGGTAGCCCTAAACCCTAAACCCTAAACCCTAAACCCTAAACCCTAAACCCGAAACCCTAAACCCCCCTTTCGCAGCCTTGAGGACCTTGCAGGCGGCTACGCCTGATGTGCAGGTGCGGACAGGGTGCTCCGGCTGAGCAAAGGTCAGACTTCTCCTCCATCCCCTTCCCCTCCCCTTCCCCTCCTGTTCCCTTTGCATCCCCTCTACCTCCCCTCCCCTTCCATTCCTCTTTGTACCTAGGACCTTATGTGCTATTTGGCTGGTTTGCTGACAGATACCTCAACAGCTTAAGAATCAAAATAGCTGGGGTGTTTCCACGAGGCACGACTTAAAAACAAGTTAAAGTTGCGAAGTCAAGATATCGTTATCATTTCAACGGTTTGGAATCACTTTTCCAAGAATTCAAGGAATTTACAGGATTCACAAAACTGAAAAGGCATTGGTGGGCAATTGTTATTCGTTAAATAATTTTTGTAATTGAAGAACTTCAAGAGGTTGAAGAATTAACGAGGTTGAAGGTTTTGAATTATTCTCTACAAATTTCGAAATTAAGCCTGTGTTTGCTGAAGTTCCTTCAATGCTTGAATTACCCTTTGTGTCAAGAATGCAAGGGCGTTTCAACAGGTTTCACCAGGCCCCAGTGTGACTTAATGTACTTACTTTGCATTCAAAGAGATTTCTACATACTCCTCAAATCCCCGGAATTCGCATGTATTTCACGAAGTCATGACTGTAGGGATGCGTAGCAGTAGAGGCCTATCTTGGCATGGGCGATGTCGTAGTGCACGACGTAGACGTTTGTAGTCAGAACTGTCGTGCCGGTAGTGATAAGTCTCGCTCATATTCGCAAAAGGTTGCTGTAATAGGAAGCAAAAGAGAAAGCCGGGTTGCGCAGGTCCATGAAACCCTTCCCCACTTCCTCTCTCCCCTCCTACCTCCATATCGTCGTCATCGGATTTCGTGTTTCCACTTTCATCATAATCATCTTCTTCTTCTTCTCCTTCTTCTTCTTCGCTCTTCGTGTGAGCTCAGCAAGTTCGTCCAGTTCCATTTCCTGTGAAACAAGGATCCCGGCACAGCGCAAGCGGCAATCGCTGCCAACTTCGCCGGTTGTCAAAGCGGGGCGCAAGGCAGCATGCTTCTTGTGCTAGTGCCGGCTTGTGCTCACACATGATTTTTAAACATGTATGCTTAGCACTTGGTTGTGAAGGGGGCTGCATGAACATCTGTTCCCATGACTGGTCCTTGCGATGAAGTGATGCAGTCGCATTTCACGCGAAAGACGAGCGCCCGTGCGGCAGTTTCGCAAAATTGGCCCCAATGTAATTGGAGAGCAGAATTGTCGGACAGCGCCAAATGACGGGGCTGCCGGGGGAGATCTCGCAAAACCGTGCTCATTTTGCGAGGAGGTCTGGCAGACTGGCGTAGCTGCACATCCGAGAGGCCGGTATCGAGACTACGTGCGCCAGCCTTCCTCCGCGGCCTTGGCAGCGGGTTGACGAATCTCTCGCGCGCGCCCGCGCGGTCTCAAACGGCGAAGTCCGTGTCCAAGGTGAAGATGCAGCGAAATTTGAAGACCAGTGGTCAGTTAGTCTGGCATAGGGAGCTTCTCGTGTACAGAAATGAAGTGCGCTGCTCCCGACGCCAAGGAAGGTGGCGCTGCATGCCGACTGAACCAAACCAAACAGGCTCAACATGCAAGCGACGGGAGAAGGCAACAGACGAGTATGTCTACAAGGTTATATGCCGACGCAGACCATGAACAATGCTAAGAACACCCTTAAGAAGCACGCCAAGAACATTCCAAGAGTCCTCAGAACGGACAAGCGCAGCGAACTCATCCAAGAACACCCAAGGCAGGAGCGTGCGTCACTGCCAGGTTTTCATGTCATGGCGCCATGCAAGCCTCCAAAACGCGTTGTGGACCGCGAATATGGACTCCGCATGACGTCCGCAGACTCGTCTTAGACTCTCTGACATTGAGTGTCTTGTGCCTTTGCAGGGCCCTCAAATTCTTAACATCAGAAACACGACGTTTCAGCAGAAACCATCGGCGCCAGTGCCCTCCCGTCCTGCTCTCTCAGTTCCCGACCCCGCAACCTCCAAGCGATGAGGCTGCACGCTTTTTTCCAGATGCACGACGCGTGGCACTAACCGTCACTAACCCAATCTCGCGGAGCGAGATGTGGGTCCCGGTGGGCAACGTGTTGGCCCGGATTGGAAAACTCATACTGGCAAGGCAACGTGGGGGGTGTCGAACGAAAAGCCAGGCATCCCGACCCACGAGGGCCAGGTGGCAAAAGGCGTCGCCCCTGAATCCTGTGCATTACGTGCCATTCGCAAATCTGCCAATTGCCACATCTCGAAGAGGCAACATGACAACCGCGATTAGATTTTCATGTGCAGTCCCCTTGCGTCGTTGAAGGGCAGGTTGACTTGACGGCCGGCGCAGCACGGAGGGAGCTTGCTTTTTGGACGGCGAATTTCATGTTTGTCGGATTTGGACGGATATTGCCCACTGGATGCAAAGTTTTCCAGCAGCGGGATGGGCGCGACGACGTGTCATGTCCATGTGAAGAATGTGACGAGGGGGGGCACATTCGACCCAAATCGAAATGTTGCTTTCCATTTCCTGGACCTTCCGGACGCGGTCCGTGTCGCTCGGCGAGCGTGTGCGAATGCGTGCACTACGTGCTATTGCTGTCGCCTGGTCGCCATTCAGTGGCGATGTTTGTGGCGTCGTTGGGGATCTGCTCCGACGAGTTGTTGCCCGAACCCTTACGCAGCAGCTGGCCGCCTTTCGAGCCTGCAGGTCCCCTGCGCCGATTTGCTTTGTCCACATGGGCCGGCGCCGGGGCATGGTGCTCCTTCCAGCCCATGCCCCAGAATCCCGAGCTGATTGTGGCACGGCCACGTACGACGTTGTCAGCTGTCGGGCCATCTTTGCAGCCCCTGCACGCACTGCCCCGACCCACGCCCGGCTTCCTTTCGCACGGTTGTGGTATGCCACCTATATGCATGGTCTTCAATTTCGTCCGCCCACCTCGTGCAGGGAGACCCACTCATGCCGGTTTTGTTGTCTTTTGCTTTGGTTGGCTCGCCCGGTGAGTAGTGCATGTCATCGGCTGAACTCGACCGGCGTTTTGTTCCGCGCCGGTCAGTGGTGTGATCTCCTGCGCCAGGCCACTGCCGCAGTTTCCGCCTCAGCGGAGCGCGCCGCGAAACGACCATCCGAGACAGTGCGATCGCGCCGTGCCGCTGCTGTTGTCCATCTCGCGGCTCGGCGGCCGGGCCCTCAGGCACCACCAACGAGCACCTTCACGGAGGCCGTCAGCTGCTTGCTCCGTGCTGCAACCGAGAGGCTGTGCGGGGGCAGGCGAGGTGGTGGTCTCCATACGCATCGACCTCGCACCCACAACCATATCGGCCTTCCGCTCCACAGCGCAGGTCCGTGAGGGGCAGGGGCAAGCGAAGCCGGCGCCGCATTGCGACGTGCATGAGGTCCGGTGCGAGGGTGGACGCCGCATCCGAAAGGTATCGCGGCCAGCCACATACCCGCATGCGGACCGGATTGAGCAGGGTTCGGGCGGCAGGAGCCAAGGCCGGAAGCAACGTGCGTTTTCGAAAGGAAGTGTGAAGTGCCAGAACGGCATGTCGCTGCCAACCAGGGCTTCCGAGGCCGAGTTCACCCTCAGCCGCTGGGACGTCAGCGCCTCGGGCGCAAGATTCCCAGTCGGGTCTGCTCACCGGCGCGCGCTTACAGGGTCGGTGCATGCCTTTAGGCTAGGGCCGGCGCGGGCTTTTAGGAAAGCCCCCCTCTCCAAATCCATCTCTGTAGTACAAAAGTAGTACTGAATAGGGCCGAAAACGGACTTCCGGGCGTTTGCGGGTTTTCGTTCTTTTGTAGTACACACGCAGTACTGGAATCCACGTTTTTGTGGCGTGGCAATACGGACATCTGGGCGCTTGAAAACACCGCAAATAGCATGGTAACGAACTTTCGCGCACGTGAAAACGCGTGGTAACGAACTTTCGCGCACTGAAAACACCGTAAATAGCGTGGTAACGGACTTTCGGGCGTTTGAAAAACACCGTAAATAGCATGGTAACGGACATCTGGGCGATTGAAAACACCGCCAATAGCGTGGTAACGGACTTCCGCGCGCGTGAAAACACAGTAAATAACATGGTAACGGACGTGTCGGCGTTTGAAAGCACCATAAACGTGGTAACGGACTTCCGGGCGTTTGAAAACATCGCAGCGTGGTAACGGACATCTGGGCGCTTAGAAACACCGAAAATTTGTAATTCACATCTGGGCGCTCGAAAACACTTGCAGATAGCATGGTTACAGACTTCCGCGCGCGTGAAAACACCGTAAATAGCATGGTAACGGGCGTGTCGGCGTTTGAAAGCACCGCGGATAGCATGGAAACGGACTTCCGGGCGTTTGAAAACATCGCAAATAGCGCGGTAACGGACATCTGGGCGCGTGAAAAAACAATGTCCCACGTGAAAACACCACAAATAGCATGATAACGGACGTCCGGGCGTTTAAAAACATCATAAACATCGCAAATAACATGGTAACGGACATCTGGGCGCATCCAACACCGCAAAGAGCATGGTAACGGACATCTCGGCGCTTGGAAACACTGCAAATAGCATGGTAATGGACTTCCGCGCGCGTGAAAACACCGCAAATAACGTGATAACGATGTCTCGGCATTTGAAAGCACCGCAAATGGCGCGGTAATGGACTTCCGGGCGTTTCAAAACATCGCGTACAGTTCGAGTGCAACGAGTCAAGTGCATGGAATTACAACGATGCTTTCGGGCCATCCCTTTTCTAGTTTGACGTCACCGACTTAACGAGGGATTGTGAGTGCTGCAAAATGGGGGCTTGTCATGAAGTATCACGAAGCCATAATTGTGGTCAACCCCCTATTTGTTTGTTTTTCCTCTCGGCGCTTTCTTCCGGCGTGGCCTAATTAGGGCATACGGCTTGCCAGCGGCAGGGATTGGGAGTCAGCGAGGATGTCGCTGAGCAACGGGCCCTCGCCATCAAAATAATCCAAAGCTAGCTGCGAACGACGGTGGCATAGGCGGAAATGCGGCCGCCGAGCTCAAGGGCCAGGACGACAAACTTGCACGTTGCAGAGCCTGGGCGGAAGCCCGCAGCGCGGCGGGCGTGCCGGCCGCCCGTGCCTCCAGCCCGAAAACGACGGGTCGGCAGCGCCGGCTGCGATCGAGTTCCGGACACAGTGAACACAAGCAGCAGTGGTCCTCAAACAACCGTCCAGCGGTCAGTATCTACATGTGAAACAAAGAGCACAAAAAGGTGCCCAAACTCACATAACTATACAAGGGGACACAATACGTGTCAAGTACTACTCCGGGGTTCCAAACCCTCAAGCAGCGACCGTTGAGCTTGGCAAATGCTAGCCACAAAGCTCATGTGCGCGGCAGTAGATGCACGAGTGTTGCCCCTACCATTTTTTTTTTCTCCCGGGTCTTTTTCCGCAACATCCACGCGTGTCCCTGTGCACGGCGCTTCGGCCTCAGACAGCTGCGGGAATCGCCTCGGCCTCAGACAGCACGCATGGGGAGGCGGCTGTGGGCGGGTGTCGCCTGCCAGCGCGCGTCGGCGAGGAGCTCGTGCAGGGCGGGCTCCGGCCCGCCAGCACTACACGCCCCGCCTGGAGGCAGCTCGAGGAGTGATGCTGCGAAGGCTCGCTGCGCTGCAAGGCAGCAGTCCGGAGAGAAGCAAGCACCTCCGCTGCGCGCGCTCTCGCTAGCAAGTGAAGGTGGCGGCTTCGGGAGCCCACCTGCCGCCTACTTCCATCCCGAACACCATTTGGAGAGAACAAGAAACGCAGTGGTCAACGGCATGTCCCAAGGATTGCAGGTGGCATGACCAGGCATTCTTCCAACGCAGAAACATGGGGCAAGAAACAACCGTCCATCGGTCAGTATCTACATGTGAAACGAAGAGCACAAGACCACACCTAGCAAGCGTCCACTCCCGTATCACACACCCTGGTAGCCTTGAGCAATGAGTGCCCGGGCAGAACCGGAGATCCAGATGGCATTGGCTAAAAAGCGAAAGCGACGGGAGTTGGTCAACTTCACCGCGTCGCATCTGCCAACCAATGCGTTCCAAGGCTGGACGGACACAACGCTGCTTCCACTGTTCCAGAGATCGATTCATACAGCCAGGACCAACACCGAAAGCATCTGGCAAAGGAATGTCAGAAGCACACAGGATGCCACGAACTTGCTGCGCCCATGACGTTGGACAATTCAGGGCATAGCGAAATACGCGGCCTGCCAAACTACGGTGAGCACCATGCGGGTCAGCTGAACAAAAACGGCCAAACAGGTTTGCCTGGGCCTTCTTGACGTCCGCAGTGAAAGGGAACCAACCGAGTTCGCCTAAGACTGCCGCGCCTGGGGCGCCTGCCGGCCAGCCAAGCAAACGTCGACCCCACTGCCTCAACTGCTTATCAAGGCGACGCACAGATGCATCATCAAGAAAAGCAGCCCCGTGCTGCATTGCAGGCAATACGTAGGCCTGGAACAGGCTGCGTCGGAATCCGGTGTTCAGGTGGCGGTTCTCGGCCCACGCCACAGATTCATGAAATTTGCGAGTGCGTCTCACAAGCAGGCTATCAGTCTGCAATTTCCATTTTCTGAAGGATTGAAAAACCACACCTAAATAACGATATTCAGACACCACCGGGACGGCAGAACCCTGAAGTGAAAATTGGAAGTCCAAAGACCTGCAGCCGATCACCATGACTGCAGTTTTTCAGGACCAATCCCGAAGGAGAACCGCCAGCGCTCACCCCAAGCGCCTATCGCATCCAAAGCCTGTTGCAGGTCACTTTGGGTTTCGGCTAGGACAACCAGGTCGTCCGCGTACAGCAACAAGGTAACTCTGGGAGCAGCAAAGTCACCACCAAGAACAATCCCTGGGCAGGAAGCTCGTTTTGCTGTGGAAATGCCATCGAACAAGATGTTGAACAGCATTGGTCCAAGGACGCTGCCCTGACGGACTCCAGCACTCTCGTCCCAGGATTCAGACATCATCCCATTGACCAGGACTCGTGCGACGACGGCAGGATGACGGGCGGACGACGGCAGGACGCCGGGGGGACGACTGGGGGACGACGGAGGGACGACGGGGGGACGACGCCTGTCGCGCCGTCATAAGGCCTAGTTTAAGCCCAAACTACCTCATTTCCCGTCATAAGGCCTAGTTTAAGCCCAAACTAGGCCTTATGACGGCGCGACGACGGCGCGACAGCCATCGTCCCCCCGTCGTCCCCCCGTCGTCACTCCGTCGTCACCCCGTCGTCGCGCCATCGCACCCTGTCGTCGCGCCGTCGTCACACCGTCGTCGGCCCGTCGCCACCCCGTCGTCGCACCGTCGTCACCCCATCGTCGCCCCGTCAAAGCCCTGACGTCTAGACCCCTCTAGCTGGACTAGTCACCATACCCCACATACTAGAACTTAGATGAGTAATGTTAGTTAAGAAATATAGGACTGGGTGCAAAGGTCTACAAAATTCTCCAAAATCTCGTAGATCTATGAAATTGTACTAAAATGGTGAATTCTACTCTATGCACTTCTCTCTATGCACTTAACTCTATGCACGTCGCTCTATGCACTTCACTCTATGCACTTCACTCTATGCATTTCATTCTATGCACTTCACTCTATGCACTTAACTCTATGCACTTCGCTCTATGTACTTAACTCTGTGCCAGCGCTTCGTTCGCCAGCTCCTGCGTCTCCGCGTTCAAAGGGCCCCTGCAACCCTGCGTGCCAACGGTGGGGCCTGCTCTCGGTCGCCGTGCAGAGGGCAGTTGCCCGCACGGCCCTGGGTGTTTGGACGATGCCGGCGCTGCCGACCTCGCCGGCCTCGCTGATGTCCTTGAGCTCGCCGATTTCGCGGGGCGCAGCCGCCTGCCGCTTCGGTGAGACGTGTGTACATAGGGGGGGTGTGGGGACCTGGATCACGACCGCCGCGAGAGGAGGAGGAAAAAAAAAAAAAAAAAAAAACTCTATGCACTTCAGCTCCGCATGGAAGAACCCTTCGCGATGCCTTCGGGAAAAAGCTGCCACCTCACGTGCTCGCGATCGAAGTCACAGGTCGGTGGAGTACCGAGGCGCTGTCATTCGTGCGGCAGTTCGCGCTGTCGAGGCCGGCCTTGCCTTCGCCGCACGCAGGCCGCACGAAGATGCACGTCCGGACACCGCCAAAGTCGACGAGGTCCTCGCCAATTCTGCCAGGCTTCCACGAGCTCGAATCGCATGGCCTGACCGTTGCCCACTGCTCCACGGTCTCCCCGCTGCAGCGGGCCACGCGACGTGCGGGTGGCCTGGCGTTGGGGCCGTGCTGATGGATGGGATAAACGAGCGAGAGAAAATCGTCCTACTTAGGCGGGTTGATTTCAAAACAACATTTCTTTCCAGCGAAGAATCAACAACGCCCGAAAAACAACAGCACTTTTGCTGACATTATACCTGGACGGGCAGCTCAGGCTGCCAGTTTCAAACCCTCCCCTGACGCGGCTGGCAGTAGGATGGCGGGCTGTCAATCACGGGGTGTAAAATAAAAAACCACCGATTGTCAGCAGATGCGTTGGGTTGGTTGCCACATTGATTGAGCCAGGCCGCCAACACCTCACAACGATCGCCGCGAGTCTCAAATGCGCTCGTGCCCCAGAACGACTTGTGTGCTTGCTTGTGTGCTTGCGTGTGTGCTTGCGTGTGTGCTTGCTTGTGTGCTTGCTTGTGTCCTTGCTTGTGCGCGTTCTTGTGTGCGTGCTTGTGTGTGCGAGTGCATGCTTGCGGCGGGCGTGCGTATGTGGGTATCCCGAGAAATTCCGCTGTTTTGTTATATGAATGTGCACCAAGACCGTGCCGTGTTTGTGTGGCGTACGAATCGACGAAGCCATCGAAAGCCTCGAAGGTCACAGCCAGAGCCGACCAGCGTTTCTTGGCCAGGAACAGTCCAGGAACCATTGTTGGACCGTTGTTTTCATAGGGCAGCAAGGAGTGTAGGCGGATGTGCCTTTGGTTGGAAACGCATTTTTTGCCTTTCACCTCTCCCTTTTTCCCTATTCCTCTCCCTCTCGCCTGTGCCCTGCCCTGCACCCTCTAGGTGGAGTCACAACTGACACGACTCCAAGGTGTCCGCCCGACGAGTCCAACCCGGAGATGTGGAAGTGCGGGAGGCGCGCGCTAGAAAGTCCACCTTATTCGCGAGGGCGTGCGCTTACTATACAGCATCGCAGTGTCTTGGCGAGAGCAGTCGAGAGCCCTGCCGATATGCAGAGTATTGCGCAGTCACCGTTGCAAGGAAACCCGAAGTTCGCGCGAGGAGAACGCCTTGCCTACGTCACCGTTTCGAGGCCAGCTACCTGCATTCTTCATTTTTTGCGCATACATGCCGCGCAGTTTCACCTTCTTTGTTCAAAGCTGAAGACTTGACTGTTGGTGCACGCTGCGGTTATTCAGGATACCGCGAGCGCAGACGACAAGGAACAACCGCTTGGCTGAACTGCATTGCAGCTGATGCCAAAATAGAATTGGCTCCACAGCACTACGTAGTGGTTAGACCGGGAGACTGCACAGGACAGCTTGCCAAAGAAAGCTGGCTGGCTTGGCAGCAGGACCCCGGAATTGCGCCATCATTCATCCAGCATGCATCAGTTTCTCAAGTTCATTTGGATTTTCCTTGGGGTGTGGAATCAGTGTGGAGGAACATGGTGAGACCTTGGTGCAGTTGCAGCGCGCAGCAGGGCCGAGAAGCTCGAGCACATGCCACCAGGATGGCGAAAATAGCCAACAAAATGCAGAGCATGCAGAGCAGCAGCCTGCACAAGCCAGACCCAACTCCGAAGGGCCAGCGGACCCAGAAAGACCGCCAGAGATTCCGGCGAGTGACGCTGACAGAGGCTCCAAAGCCGGCACGCAGCCAAACGTCCAGCAGCTCGCAGGGCAGACCCGGCAGCAGCCACGTCCGGCACACACCCTTCAGCGGTGTGACGGAAAGATTCCCCAAACAGCTCAGACAGGAACCCAAGCATTGCGATCAGAGCCGGCCAAGACCAGTCAGGAGAGCATTGTGGCTTGGCTCGGAAGTTGTCGTTCGCTCGCTGCTCGTTCGCTCGTTTGTGTAAGTGAAAAACTGCTATGTGTCAGTGTGTTTGCGTGTGTCTGTGTGAGTGAGACTGTGAGTGTGTGTAGTTTGTAAGTGTGTGTAAGGGAGTAAAGTTAGCACCGGGTAAGTGTAAGTGTCACCGTAGGTGTCGGCGCAAGTGCTTGCGTGGGTGTGAGTGCGAGTGTGGTATGTGAAGGTTCGCCGTGGGCAGAAGCCGATCATCAGACACTTCTCATACCCGTGGCGGCCTCAACGCCACGAATGGCACATCGCCAGCAGATGCTGCAGGTTCAGGCATGCTGCCGATAGCTCTTAGGCCAAACATCTTAAGTCGCAAATAATGGCAGACAGACAGCTAGGTGAATGCAACACAAGCAGGTGGGTTGTTTCGTGAAGGCATAGCGGTTCAAGCCTGCAACATTGTAAAGTGAAGTGGCCCAGCATGCCGAAGGGGGACAAGGCCAAGAAGGCTGAGAAGGCCGCCAAGGCCGTAAAGGGCACCGTGAGCAAGAAGACAAGGAAGGTGCGCACCAAGGTCCGCTTCTACCGACCCAAGACGTTGATCAAAGCCAGGGACCCCAAGTACCCGCGCAAGTCGGTCGAATCCCGGGGCGACAAGCTGGACAAGTACCGAATCATTCAGTGCCCCGTGACCACCGAGTCCGCAATGAAGAAGATTGAAGAGATCAACACCCTGGTGTTCTTGGTGGACCTCAAGGCAACCAAGCCCAAGATCAAGGAGGCCGTGAAGCAACTCTACGACGTGAAGTGCGCCAAGGTCAACACTCTCATCCGCCCAGACGGGCTGCAAAGCTGCAAACATTTTCGTTCTGTCTGTTGAAAAGATACTCTCGAGCATGGGTTTGGCCAGGTAAGGAGGGAAGGTACAGAACATGGGCTTGTGTCGGAGCCGGATTTGGCCAGCTTGTGTCAGCATGTGGCCGTGGACTAAGGAAGAAGAAGGCCTATGTTCGCCTCACGCAGGACTATGACGCGCTCGACGTCGCTAACCGCATTGGCATCATCTGATTTCACTGAGTCACTGATGTCCCGTGATTGGCAGGCAGCAAACCGCAGAAAAGCGTCGACTGACTTGATTGCATGAATCTGGCGCAGCCTTGCAGCTTTTGTCATGGGGCCGTGTCATTGTGGATACATGTGGATGTCATGCTTCCATGACTTGCTTTCGCATGGTGCGTCATAGCTGCATGCCCCGCGGGCTTCTCGGCTTCATAGACGGTAGTGCGGGTTGCGACAGATTCGGCAGCATGGCGCCGAAGGGGGACAAGGCCAAGAAGGCTGAGAAGGCCGCCAAGGCCGTAAAGGGCACCGTGAGCAAGAAGACAAGGAAGGTGCGCACCAAGGTCCGCTTCTACCGACCCAAGACGTTGATCAAAGCCAGGGACCCCAAGTACCCGCGCAAGTCGGTCGAATCCCGGGGCGACAAGCTGGACAAGTACCGAATCATTCAGTGCCCCGTGACCACCGAGTCCGCAATGAAGAAGATTGAAGAGATCAACACCCTGGTGTTCTTGGTGGACCTCAAGGCAACCAAGCCCAAGATCAAGGAGGCCGTGAAGCAACTCTACGACGTAAAGTGCGCCAAGGTCAACACTCTCATCCGCCCAGACGGGCTGCAAAGCTGCAAATATTTTCGTTCTGTCTTTTGAAAAGATACTCTCGAGCATGGGTTTGGCCAGGTAAGGAGGGTGGAAGGTACAGAACATGGGCTTGTGTCGGAGCCGGATTTGGCCAGCTTGTGTCAGCATGTGGCCGTGGACTAAGGAAGAAGAAGGCCTATGTTCGCCTCACGCAGGACTATGACGCGCTCGACGTCGCTAACCGCATTGGCATCATCTGATTTCACTGAGTCACTGATGTCCCGTGATTGGCAGGCAGCAAACCGCAGAAAAGCGTCGACTGACTTGATTGCATGAATCTGGCGCAGCCTTGCAGCTTTTGTCATGGGGCCGTGTCATTGTGGATACATGTGGATGTCATGCTTCCATGACTTGCTTTCGCATGGTGCGTCATAGCTGCATGCCCCGCGGGCTTCTCGGCTTCATAGACGGTAGTGCGAGTTGCGACAGATTCGGCAGCATGGCGCCGAAGGGGGACAAGGCCAAGAAGGCTGAGAAGGCCGCCAAGGCCGTAAAGGGCACCGTGAGCAAGAAGACAAGGAAAGTGCGCACCAAAGTCCGCTTCTACCGACCCAAGACGTTGATCAAAGCCAGGGACCCCAAGTACCCGCGCAAGTCGGTCGAATCCCGGGGCGACAAGCTGGACAAGTACCGAATCATTCAGTGCCCCGTGACCACCGAGTCCGCAATGAAGAAGATTGAAGAGATCAACACCCTGGTGTTCTTGGTGGACCTCAAGGCAACCAAGCCCAAGATCAAGGAGGCCGTGAAGCAACTCTACGACGTGAAGTGCGCCAAGGTCAACACTCTCATCCGCCCAGACGGGCTGCAAAGCTGCAAATATTTTCGTTCTGTCTTTTGAAAAGATACTCTCGAGCATGGGTTTGGCCAGGTAAGGAGGGTGGAAGGTACAGAACACGGGCTTGTGTCGGAGCCGGATTTGGCCAGCTTGTGTCAGCATGTGGCCGTGGACTAAGGAAGAAGAAGGCCTATGTTCGCCTCACGCAGGACTATGACGCGCTCGACGTCGCTAACCGAATAGGGATCATCTGATTTCACTGAGTCACTGATGTCCCGTGACTGGCAGGCAGCAAACCGCAGAAAAGCGTCGACTGACTTGATTGCATGAATCTGGCGCAGCCTTGCAGCTTTTGTCATGGGGCCGTGTCATTGCGGATACATGTGGATATCATGCTTCCATGCCCACTTCCTTTCGCATGGTGTGTCGTAGGTGCATGCCCCGCGGGTTTCTCGGCTTCATAGACGGTAGTGGGTAGTCAAGCAGTGCGGGCTGCGACAGATTCGGCAGCATGCCGAAGGGGGACAAGGCCAAGAAGGCTGAGAAGGCCGCCAAGGCCGTAAAGGGCACCGTGAGCAAGAAGACAAGGAAGGTGCGCACCAAGGTCCGCTTCTACCGACCCAAGACGTTGATCAAAGCCAGGGACCCCAAGTACCCGCGCAAGTCGGTCGAATCCCGGGGCGACAAGCTGGACAAGTACCGAATCATTCAGTGCCCCGTGACCACCGAGTCCGCAATGAAGAAGATTGAAGAGATCAACACCCTGGTGTTCTTGGTGGACCTCAAGGCAACCAAGCCCAAGATCAAGGAGGCTGTGAAGCAACTCTACGACGTGAAGTGCGCCAAGGTCAACACTCTCATCCGCCCAGACGGGCTGCAAAGCTGCAAATATTTTCGTTCTGTCTTTTGAAAAGATACTCTCGAGCATGGGTTTGGCCAGGTAAGGAGGGTGGAAGGTACAGAACACGGGCTTGTGTCGGAGCCGGATTTGGCCAGCTTGTGTCAGCATGTGGCCGTGGACTAAGGAAGAAGAAGGCCTACGTTCGCCTCACGCAGGACTATGACGCGCTCGACGTCGCTAACCGCATTGGCATCATCTGAGGACCCTGTCTGCATGAGCAGGCACGACGTGACGACAGCGCCCGTGGCAATGCCGAAAAGTCGTATCTGTGCGGGTCCATGACTAGATTGTCTAATTATTTGATTTGGGTTTAGGAGGAGGAGCAGCAGCAGCAGCAGTCCTGCACACGACATGCACCTTCTGTCTTCAGTTTGCTTGCTGCTTTTTCCGTGAGCTGTTTCATTTCTGATGTCTTCACCAATGTCATGAACCCAGGCCAGCGCCCGAGCGCGTGCCGCAGGCGCCAGCCTTTGCATTTACTGTGCCCTTGATGCCCATGATATTGAGTGGTGCAGGTCCATCCAGCTCTCTCCGGTTTAGGGTTTAGGGTTTAGGGTTTATGGTTTAGGCAGTCATCAAGTCCGGTTTCAAAAAGGGTTTATGGTTTATAGGGCACTCTCTGCACGAACTGCTTGGGGTTGCTTCAGGCAAAGAAGGTCCAGCTGTTCAACATGGCGGCTGGAGATATGCCGACGGACACTGAGATGACAAAAAGCTTGCCCTGCATCCTATCGTCAGGGCCTCGAGCATGCCTTCCAAGGGATGGTTTTTTTTTTGAGAAGGGCCTACAGGAAACCCTAAACCCTACTAAACCCTACTACTAAACCCTACAAAACCGTAAACATCCCCTAAGCCCTTCTAAACCCTAAACATAAACCCTAAAACCTAAACCCTACTAAACCCTAAACATCCCGAAGCCTTACAAGACCTTGTGCCATCCAACGGAGGCCGAGCAGCCATGTGCGGCAAAATTTTCAAGGTGTGGCTGACAGCCTCCAGGACAAAAGCACTTGAGAAACCCTAAGCCCTAAGCCCTAAACCCTTGTTTTGGGACAGATTCTGCTTCTGACAAAAGGGAGCACTTTTCCTGTTGGGTTGACTGCGAGGTTGGGCTAGAGAGTCTGGTGCGCGTCAGCTGCGGGGGGGGACACGGGGCTGTAGCCTTGTGAGTGGTTCAGTTATCGCACGAAAGCCAAGCACTCGATTCCTGTTGTTTAGTGACACTCCCCGGAAGTCATAGGAGTGTGTTTGGGAACCTAGAAGCCTGCGGAGCGGTGCATCCAGCTATGCGGGTGCCAAAAGAATCCCCAAAACCCCCTAAACCCCCAAAACCCCCTAAACCCCCTAAACCCCCTAAACCCCCTAAACCCCCTAAACCCCCTAAACCCCCTAAACCCCCTAAACCCCCTAAACCCCCTAAACTCCCTAAACCCCCTAAACCCCCTAAACCCCCTAAACCCAATCTCTAAGCATGCACAGGCATTCTTAGAGGCCCTTTTGGCGTCTTTCATCTTTAGGAGGCTGCGGCCGCCCTACAGCGCCTTTCTCAGAACTGCCAGGCCTACAGGGGGGCAAGGTTGGATATTATTGGAGGGTTTAGGGTTTAGGGTTTAGGGTTTAGGGTTTAGGGTTTAGGGTTTAGGGTTTAGGGTTTAGGGTTCAGGGTTCATGGGTTCAGGGTTTAGGGCCTCCTCAGTCCGTGCTTAAAAAAGGGGTTTAGGGTTTAGGTTAGGGTTTAGATGGGTTGAGGGTGTTCATAAATTTGCTTGTCGCATGATACCAGAATCTAGGAGTAATAGAATCGTAGGCCTGCAAGAGGGCCATGGAGAGACTGAGTAACCCCAGGGTTGCCTTCAAATGAGCGGCTCAAGCTCAACCCTTATTGGGTTTAGGGTTTAGGGTTTAGGGTTTAGGGTTTAGGGTTTAGGGTTTAGGGTGCTTGCGCAATGGGCTGTGAACTCGGGGGGCACGCTACCCCCGGTCGCTTCGTAGAGAAGATGTATCAGAGAGCGGGGGAAACCTGGAAGGTCTCCTCGCCGGATGAGGCGAGCACGCAAGGCTGCGTCTCCCTAAACCCTAAACCCTAAACCCTAAACCCTGAACCCTGAACCCTGAACCCTGAACCCTGAACCCTGAACCCTGAACCCTGAACCCTGAACCCTGAACCCTGAACCTTAAACCTTAAACCTTAAACCTTAAACCCTAACCCAAACCCATCTGGGATTCGCTGTCTACGGAGGCCACGGCCCCGTGGAGCACGCTCCGGAGCCAGTGGCCAATCATGGCAGGCCTCATGGCAGCCCTAGGACTTTGCAGGAGCCTACTCCGCTGAGTTGGGGGTTTAGGGTTTTGGGGTTTAGGGTTTAGGGTATTTCACCAAATATCGGGATATACCACCCCCAAATAGTATAATCCTTGTTATAGGAATGCCCAAAAGGGTACCCCCCATTTTCGGAAACACCATGTGTTCCTGCAAGCCAGTCGGCTTATGAATGTATGTATGTGTATGTTCTGTTTATGCAGCACAACTCCTGGTCTTGAAGCGTCACCTAAACGACAGCCGTACACGGCGCTAGTTGCCGAATCGCCGCTGCTCAATGGAGCTATCGTCCAATGATAGCTGACAGTTTTGCCGCATGACGTAGTGCCCGATAGCGACGTCAGTTCCAGGATCCGCTATTGAACACTGCCCGTGCGTGCCATCGCGGCTGCCATGAGGAGCACAACGCCTGCTTGCAATCTCAGCTGGCAGAGGCAGGGGTCCGGCCTGTACCTGTGACTCCTGTGCTTGGCACCTGCACGCGCTAAGGCGAACAGGCGCATCGAAGAACTCGAAGAGGAAAGGCCAGCCAACGATCATGCCAGTCGCAGGGTGGAGCAAACTCGCAGCTGCCATATTGCGAAGCAGATACGACCACAAACAACGGCAGGCAAAGATTTCTCCATGAAGGCGTTTACGATCTCGTTAATGCGATGTGCCAGGCGCCTAGGCGGTGCTTGCTGCACCTTCAGGTCATGATTACGTGTCTCCTTCACTTACTGGAGAAATCATGCTGTACCTAGTGTCAGAAAAGATGCTTTTTGAAGCTTCCGGATCTTCTTCATGTAAGGGCAGAGTGTTTCCTGCCCGAACCAGGATGTGTAACCAAGCACAAGGCACCTGTTACTACGAACGATATTTGCACATCCGCACGCACGTTGCCTGCCCGATAGCAGGTAAGTGCCCCTTCGTTTGGAGTGCGCTTGCAGAGACTTAGACTGGACCTGCAGCGCGCCTGAAATAGTGGTCACACGCCTAGGCACCAGCCCTCGGCGGCGCAACTTTCAAGATGGGAGTATGCGAGGCTTCGAGGACCGATGTTCATGCCACCAAGGGTGGATGCGATGCCGGTGTTTAGGGTTTAGGGCCTAGGGTTTAGGGTTTAGGGTTTCGAGTCCGAAATATTCCGAGCATGTGCAGAATGGCCAACACACCAGGAGCCAGGTGCTACCGGCACAAGGCACCCAGCCAGCCCGGGGCTGAACGGTTTAGGGTTTAGGGTTTAGGGTTTAGGGTTTCCTGGCAGCAAGGAGTCCAGTTGCAAAAGGGTTTTGGGTTTAGGGTTAGGAATATTCTGTCATCAGCAAGCTGTCGATGTATCGGAGCGCCCGAACACTCTTGTACGCAACCCTAAACTACGTCAAGGCCACTAGTCGAGTATGAGGAGTCCTGACGAGTGGTGCTTTTTCCCCAATGCGTTTCCTGCTCTTTGCTTTGGTCTGACCCCGGCTAGACAGGAGGCAGGGCTCTGGTGGGACAAAGGCCATAGTGCCCTAAACCTTAAAGCAGAAACCCTAAACCCTAAACCGCAGCTCAGGTCCTGACGCATCCCAACTGGTCGTGCCTACCCCAGGGGTTTCCATGGCGTATCAGCGGCTGTTGACCATGTGGACGCCTGGTGTTGGCTGAGGTGGATGTTTTGCTGCAGCTGGTGTCCCAGGACGCCAAACATGCCAACGGGTCAACGACTTCCTTCATGGCAGCTTGATAGTTGTGGCAGGAGCATCAACACCTCAACCGTGGTCAGCACCACGGGCAGGCGTCGATTTCTGACCAGGCGCAACGCGTGCTTTAGCTGCTACGCGCGAAGTCGGGTGTAGCTAGACTTGACCTCAGACCGCAGATCTTTTCACAGGTGCCGTTTGGCAATGGTGCATGGATCTCGCGTCCGAAAACTACCTACGTGCGGAGCATTTGCGCTGTGTGCTCATGTGCAAACCGAGAAGACCGCTGGCTTTGCAGGATGGATATGCCACGTGGTGCTTCAGCACCTCCCATGCCTCCCGCCGCATGATTTTTGGATGCGACTCTGTTCAGAGTGCTTGATCTACAGAAACAACAGTTTACAACAGCCAATAGTTCAATCCCGGTCGACTGCGCACAACAGAACAGCATCGCGTGGCCATATCAACGGCAGGGCTAACCAAAGTGCGCCAGATCCTTCTGCACATCGTCGGCCATGGGTCAACATGGGAAACTGCTCTTGCGTTTGCAACGAGACGTCGGCCCATAGCGTTGTGGAGCAAAGCCCCTCGGCATCTCAGTGTGCTGAGGCCTTGTTCTCAATGAGATGTTCTGACACAGTTTGGGAGTCAGTTTCAGGCTGTAAACCCGTTTTCCTAAACAATCTGCCGCCCGAGGCGTGCCAGAGGGCAAGAACGTCGTCAGGGCACAGCCCACCCTGGCAGACAAAGACTTGGAGGAGGATTCGCGCGAAGCTTGGCGGCGGCAACAACAACGCCTTGGGTAAGGAATACGCCTCAACCATCCTCGAGCGATACAGGGCCTCGTATCCTTCTAATGATTTGCACATATGTGCACGGGTGATGTAACTCGAAGCGTCCCGACCTGCACAGGAGCCTGTAGGACTGTGTACTTAATGATGGGTGCGGGGGGGGGGGGGGGGTGGTAATTGCGTTCTGAAATTTTCCAATATAATTAGGTCCAAGCATCAGGGGTCATTGGATACTGGGCTTTCGAGCTGAATGCTTCAGGGCCATCCTGGGTTTTCATCTGCAGCTCAACTGACGATGGGCTCAGAGCATCTCCAGAGCATACTTCTTGGAGCCCCTTACTCTTCGAGTTTCTGGGCTTTCCGCGATGGAAGTGGAGGATGGACGCCACTTTCGCAACGACCTGGACGAGTCCTCCAGGCCAGCCGACTGGGAGGTCAGGCTGCGTGGAGCCTTGGACAACGTGAAGGCCACGATTCTGCAGGCCGAGCACCGCAAGGAAAGGGTGGGCAAAGAGGGAACACAGGTGTCACCACTAATTGCCACAATAAGAAGCCATGTAAATCTAGTTTCTCTTGTAGTCCCACAAAGCTGCGAGACATGCTGAAACCAAGGGCAGTGTCTACACTGGCGCCGCTGGCGTGGCCTACATGCTGCTTCATCTGTCGGCCTGTGGTCTTGCTGACCCCTCCACAGCCTGTGCAGAGAGCAGTCGGATCCTGAGTACGTAGTAGAGTAGGTAACCTTTAACCTTTTTTGGGGTAGTATAATCCCCTAATAATCCCAAAGGTTAACCTTTAGATTTATTAGTTTCCCCCAGGTTACTGGACAACTAAGGATCCTTACAGAGGCAGCAGAGCTCTCCGACGCACGGCGGGTGACTTTGTTGGAAGGGCTGGCAGGAGTCGTGGCTCTGCAGGCATGGATGCACAGACTCCGTGGCGAGCAGGAGAAAGTCCAGGAGTGTGTTCCTTGGGGATCAAATGAACCCTAAAATTGGGGCCACATACCCTCTACTACTACAATCCCTATGAAACCCAATTATAAGGTGTATGAACCACAAGGCCCCTTTAGGGGTTCATGTGGTCCTTAAGGTTCGGAGGCTCGAAGAGCTGGCCCGGCACGCAGTTGCCTTACCCGAGGGCGAGTGCGAGGTGCTCTATGGGCGCTGCGGCTTTCTGGGTGCCGTCCTCTTCTTGCGGCAACATCTGGAAGACCCGAAGATCCTGGCCGGCCCAGCTGCCGAGTTGGTGAGGCACAGAGAGCTGAGGTATGCAGCTATGTGTAACCAGTAGCATCTGATTACTTCCCCCCCCCACCCAGCCCCAAATGAACATGAATAAACAACAGACCCCGGAAATGGGCCGGGGGCTGGGGGTCTTCTCCTCCCTTCCTCGGCTCCTCTTCGTGTACGCAAGTTTGGAGGAGAGTGCAGGCCGGGTCCTGCTGCAGATCTCCGCTCTTCTTAATTCTTTGGGAGGGAGAGGCGGGGAGGGGGGGGGGGGGGGGTTGGAAATCCTAAAGCACTTATTTGCAGCCGCGCCCTGATGTTCTGGGGCTCAGAGCTGTGCAGCCCTGAGGAAGCATTGCAGAGCTTTGGGGGCCTCATTCTCTAGGCCCCCCGCGCTAACTTCCCCGTAATCCTAGGGCATGTTTGGAAGTCTCCTCTTCCGGGTGGGATGGGGCTTGATTCATCAGATCCCCGGATTAACGTAGTACGTGCCTGAACAAAGTAGACCCATCACAAAGGGTCTGCCATTTGCTGATCGTATAAACAAGCAATAGTTTCAACCAGATCGTTCGCGCAAGCACACAACAAAAACTGCAACCTTCGTAAAAACAGGCACTTTTTTCTTAGTATCCTCAGTCGCCCGTGAGGCAAGTGGTTGCCTCGGGAAAGCGCAATGCACGTGATGGCTGGCCTCTCTACTTTGAGTGGCATGACAAATGTTACCTGGGAGGTGCCCACGGTATTGCCGGCATTCTGCACACGCTGGCCCAGCTCCCGGAAGAGCTTGCTGCAGCTGGGCAGGATACTGCCAGCCTTATCTGTCGAAGTGCAGACAAGCTGCTGGATGGCCGATTTGTTAGTGGGAACCTGCCATCGTCACTTGGGAGCGGGAAAGATCGTTTGGTCCAGTTCTGCCATGGACCCACCGGCGCAGTGCCCTTGATGCTGCGACTGGCTAGCGTGTACAACGAGCCGAGATATTTGCGTGAGGCCAAGGAATTGGGCCAAGTCATTTGGAGAAGAGGACTTCTGAGCACAAAGGGGCTTGGACTATGTCACGGCATACCCGGAAACGGCTTCGCCCTCCTTGCCCTCTACAGGCAGACGCAAGATGAAGTGTGGTTAAACCGAGCTTTGCACTTTGCCCTGTTTGCGTGCGACCACCAACGTGACCTCTCCCAGCAGGCAGATCGACCGCACTCGCTTTTTGAGGGCCTTGCCGGTGCGGCCTGCTTCTGGGGCTCTGTTCTTTGTGCAGCCAGCGGAGATGCGCGTATGGCAGGCTTCCCCTGTTATGATTTCGACTAGGGCGATGGAGGATGATGGAGGCACCAGCTCAAGGGATGCGCCGAGGACACGTCTGCTTACTCTGCGTGCGGTAGAGCGGAAGGGCACAAAAAAGAGGCGCGGAAGGACCCTGCGCTCTCTGTGCACGGTTTCAGCTGTTTCCTCATCCAAGGATGGCTCGACAGTCATCCTCGAGGGTGGCTTCCGATTCACCGGCACCTGGGCCAATGGCCAGAAGCAGGGCTTTGGCATTCTGGAGCAACCCGCGCCTAGGCTCAATGTCCCAACTTGTCTCCTCTTAGTGCATGGCACCCATGTTGCCATGTTTCCCAGGACGGAAGCCGCTTTGAGGGCCACTTCGTGGATGACAAGCCGAACGGTGAGGGGCGGTTGGCCTATGTCTCCGGTGACGTCTATGAGGGCCAGTGGGTGGATGAGCGAGCAGAAGGTTTCGGCTCCTTCACGCGTAAGGATGGGAGCTCCTACGAGGGCCAGTGGCTCAACGACCTGCAGCATGGCTACGGGATTGAAACCTGGTCGGATGGCTCCCGATCCTTGGAAAAGAGTTTAGCGATGGTTGTGCATTTGCTGAGGCTTAAAGCGACACTTGTGAGCAAAGCTTTGCTAAGGATTCGAAGGCGTTTATTGTGCTGGTGCCAAAGAGGGCCACGGCACCTTCTCGTGGGCGGATGGCGCCACGTACACGGGTTCGTTCAGCAACAACTACTTCCATGGCTCCGGTGATTACAGGCTCGGTCTTACGTATCTGCGCGTTGATCTCGGAACCTCATTCTTTTCAGTCCCGACCCACGAGGTGGAGCGATGGCCGCCGATACAAGGGGGGCTGGGACAAGAGCAAGCTTCATGGCTGGGGCCACATGTCCAGCCCTCAATCAGAGTCGAGCTGAGACTTCATGCATGTGGGCGTAGATCCGACGCAAGTCTAGAACCCTAAACCGTAAACCCTAAACGCTTGCGACACGGGTGGAAAAAAACCTAAATGGAGCCTCAGGATCTGGCCAGATGGGCGCTGCTATCGAGGGTTCTACGTCCGAGATCGAAAACATGGCGAAGGCTGCTTTCGCTGGTCCTCGGGGGCACAGTACAGCGGCCAGTGGCTTCAAGGCATCGGGACCTGTTCTTTTGCTCCTTTACATGGGTTTAGGGTTTAGGGTTTAGGGTATCTTGAGCACTTGTCTGTTCGCTGCGGAGGCAGTGTGGGTAGACACAACGTACCCGCGCAGGCAAGCAGCATGGTACGGCAAGATACAAGAACCTTGACGGCAAGGTGCCCTGCTGCAAATCTTTGCAAAGAGCCTTGTGGAGTCCCGGCAAAAAACTTCCCTACAGGTGCGCACTGGCCGCTGGGAGGATGGTGCTCATGTGGAGTGGCTTGCCGCGCTACGCCTGGGACTTACAGAACTCTTACGGATACTTGTGTTTGTTGCATACTGGAGGCGGAAGAGAATTACAGTGTGCGAGGTTACCGATGTTCGCTCATTGTCGTATTTTGCATGCTCATATCTCCGAGCTGGCTGAACTGGCACCGTGCAAGGTAACGAAGCGCCCGGGGACAATTTCCTCACTGAAGATGACTGTTACTTACCAGCCAAGCAGGAAAGCACTTAGGGAGAAAGCCAAGCTAGGACTTCCTTTGAGTTTGCGGCGCTGCAACTTTTGAGCAGCACGTTGATCTGAGGCAATGATTTTGCACATTCAGGCAGAAGTGCCACGCACAGTGACCGCACGTACAGCTGTTGAGGCTGATCTCAACGCCCAACAAAGCACAGCCGAGACTTTACGAGGAACTGGATCCTGCAGCAGTGCACTTTGGTGGATACCGAACAGCGTAGCAGCCTTTACAGCAAGCACCCGAAAGTGCAAGTTTCACACTCCCGAAATTGCAGGGAGATTGGCCGAAGGAGTGCCCAAAGCGCGGCAAACTCGGCAGCCAGTCTCTCAAGCAAGGCCTCACTGGGGTTGCGGATGGTTGCGGCAAAGTCCGTGATTTTTGAGGTGACTGGGAGCCTGGCAGGAAGTGTTTGTGTGCATAGTGTAGGCAGTGTAGGTCTGAGTCGTGCTTGTTGATGCGGAGTGGATGCAAGAAGCTGCAGCATGGCTGTGCACATTCACGGTGAGGAATCTACAGCCCTGTGCCAAGAATTTGATCCATGTCGGGGATTCATTACGAGCGGTTCAAGGGGGCACCAGGAGATGCAGGAAACTACCGTACTAGGCCAGTAAGAAATTTTGCGCATGGTGAGGAGTTTGCGGGACATTCTTCAGAGCCCCAAGGCTCTAAGGATCCTGGATTCGGAACACCGGCTCAATTTCCTAAGCTGGATAAATTCCGCCAATAGCCGCAGTAGGCTTGCAAGAGCGCCATGACAGCGCCCACGCTCCGAAGGGTGCTGCCTGACTACTATGCAGCGCTTGAGATACATGAGGACACAGATGCAGGTTCTTCTCATTTTTTGCATGTCTGTCTCGCTCTCTCTCTGTCTCTGTCTTTCGCTCTCTTTTCAGTATCACCAGTCTCAGCAGAAGCAGCAGTAGCAGCAGCAGCAGTAGTAGTCGGAGTAGGAGTAGGAGTAGGAGTAGGAGTAGGAGTAGGAGTAGGAGTAGGAGTAGGAGTAGGAGTAGGAGTAGGAGTAGGAGTAGTAGTAGTAGTAGTAGTAGTAGTAGTAGTAGTAGTAGTAGTAGTAGTAGTAGTAGTAGTAGTAGTAGTAGTAGTAGTAGTAGTAGTAGGTGACACGCTCTTAACTGATCATGGTGTTTTCTGCTGTTTTTTGACTTTTTCTATCGTTTTCTCTGGTTTTTTCTGCGTTTGACGGGTTGGGGGGGGTGGGGGGGGTGGGTGGGGGGGGGGTAATTACGTGCTGTGCTTTGTGCACACATGACCATGCTGAGGGGTTGGGGGGGGGGGGGGTGGGGGGGTAATTACGTGCTGTGCTTTGTGCACACATGGGGGTCGTGCTGGGCTTTGTGCACGCTTGACCACGCTGTCTACTGTTTTCCTCTGTTTTTTTGGTTGGTTTAGGGGCAAGATCTTTTGGGCTCACAGTGGAGGGTTTAGGGT